TGCCGCCCCCCCCACCCCCCCCCCGCGGCCCTGCCTCTCTTGGTGCCACAGCAGCTTGTCCCTGACGCTCCTGGAGCTGGGGAGATTTTGCTCCCCCTCCCCATACTGCGTATCCTGTGGGGGCAGGGGCAGATGTCCCCTGCTGTCCTGGAGGCTGCAGTCGCTTGCCCCAGCGGCTGGGGCTTGTTCTTCCCACAGTTTCCTGTATTTTTATGAAGGGGGGGAGAGGGTGAAATTTAGTTCCCGGTCATGAGTGAGACCCCTGCTGCTGCTCTGGCGCTCGCCACGAGAGGCCTCAGCAGAACAAGTGAGACCCGCCCTGTCCGTGTGTCGCCCCTGCCTGTTTCCCGCGGGCAGGCGGCCGTGCTGAGGAGGACTGGCAGGGCACCGCGTGTTGCAGGATACCACAGTGACCGTTCTGCCAGGGTCCATGGCCAGACAGGACCGCTGTGGTCACCGAGTCTGACCTGTGTAGCACAGGCCTGGAGAACGTCCCCACAAGAACTCCTAGGGCAGAGCTAGAAAAGCATTGATTGAAAAACACCCCGTGGTGGAGACTCCAGCACAGCCCTGGGGAAATTGTTCCAGTGCGTAGTGTCTCGGGTACAGACGTACCCCGGAGGGATGGGCATGGCTAGTCACGTAGTTACTCGAAATGTACCGTCCCTAGTACCCAGGACAGCCCCATTCGGGCACGGAGCTGGTGAGACTCAGCAGAGACTTGTTGGGAATGACCAGAACCGTTCTAAGGCTGCTGGGGCAGGCGGGGCGATCCACTCTCCGAAAAGCAAACCGCCTGCTAGCACTGCACTGCAAAGCCAGGGGAAGGACGGCTTCATGGGTGTGCCTGTGCCCTTTCCTCCTCGCAGGAAGCGGCATCGCTGATCGCCCAGAGATCCATGAACCCACGGGACATCTTCAAGCAGAAGGAGCGGTCGATGCCCTCGGACGCAGCAGCCTTCGGTTCCCACCCAGGTACAGCGCTGGAGTGGAACTCAGCAGACAGCGGTGCTGGCTGGTAGGCGCGTGCCCGGGGGCTGCAGCGCTCCCCGGGGAAGACGCTGTCAGTGCCTCGTTACACGCAGCTCTGCAGCCTGGGAGCGGGGGAGAGGAAGCCGTTCTGTTCTCAGCGTGGGGTTGGGATGGGCATACTGCTCTAGCGTGCCAAAGGCAGCCGTGCCTTCCAGTGCCCAGTGTGAAGCTGACAGAACTGTCACGCCTCCGTGTGCTCTGTGCTACAGGTGAGGCAATGCCCCGAGGTAAGTTTCTCAAACACTTCCCAGTGCCAGCCTCTCTGTTCAGCCGCTGGTAACTCGGCCCGGTTGTCGAAGCCGAGGCGCGCCAGGTCTCTGCAGCGTCCTCTTAACATTTCAGCACCAGGAGATTTGTTAAAGTTGAGTTGAGAAGGGCCCCTTGTGCTCCGCTGGTCTCACTCCTGTGATCTTTCCCTTCCTTCGCCACCCCTCTTTGAACCAGAGACCTTCAGCTCCACACGTGACAGCCACTTAGCGGAGGGTCGGTGATACCCCTAGGGGACTAGGACGGAAGAACTGGCCTTTCTTTGCTGCAGGCTCCCTGTAGGGCCCGGGGATAAGTGAGCAAACAGCAGCTTAGTGCAGCAGTGGAAATGTCTCCTTATGTCCAAGGAGCTGAACGTTCAGAAATATCGCGGCTGGGCTTGAGCGCGCGGGGCAGGAAAACCGGAACCTTTGCTGCTGTTTAGATGGTTTCCATCTGCTTCTTCGAACAGCTCTGGCATCTCCAGGGTTTGCAGCAGGCCCTTGAGAATGGATGGCCGACAGCCCCGGTGTAGAGAGGTGCCTGCTGCACCACATGGGCCAGGGCTTGGGATTAGTCCCAGGAAACTGTCACATGCCCAAGCCTGGGGGTGCTGGCTCCCCACAGTCCGGTGAGTGCTCTTCCAGCACTGGGCATGCCTCAAAGCCGCCCGCGCTTACAGAGCTACCCCCTCGCTCCCTCCCGGCAAATGCCTGGCAGTGCCGCTGCATTAGATGCCAGGCGACCGGTCGTTCGGCTTTCACCCTCTCCCACCGGCGGCTTCTCCGGCTGCTTTGTGTTCCACAAGCCTCATCGTGGCTCAGTGGGCAAATCGGACAGAGGACCCGAGTGCCTCCCCAGGTACCACGGCTATTTGGCTAGGCTGTAACCACCAAACCACTGCTGTAACCATTGGGCAAGATTCCCTTCCCAGAGCCAGGATTCGAACCGACACCCTGGGTACCTCGTGCTCTGCAGCGGGCTGGAGTTGTGCAGGCAGAGTCCTACTGGGGAAGTGTGTGTCCCATCCCCCTCTAGTGGTGGATACGGAGGGTAACCGCTGCCTCCTTCAGCTCAAGGGCTACAGGACTCTCCTGCAGATTGCTGGCTAGAAGCAGGCAGCCTGGCAGCTTAGTGGGGCTGGTTGGGGGGCGTCTGGGACAGCCCCATCCCGGAGGCCCCCCCCAGCCATTCAGGGAGGAGGGGAGGGGGGCCTGCAGCTGCACGTACCCAGTCACTGAGTGGTGGGTTTTTCTTTTGGCTGACTAGGGAGCGAGGCGAAGGGGACACCCTGCTCTCGCGCCGGCTGCCCCGGGCAGAGGAAGGCCGCAGGCCATGCACTTGGCCTCGCTCCCTAGTGAGCAAAAAGGAAAAGAAACTACTCAGGGACCGGGTAAGTGCAGCTGCAGCCCCCCCC